TATTTTATGTCCTGCTGTGCTGTGTGCAACTATAATTTAGCCATTTCTAAGGCTTGCCCTAGCTTGTCGACTTCGTCAATTCAGCAAATTTCCTATTTGGAAGCTAATCAGTTGAACAGATGTTTTGCATTAGATTTATTCTGGTAGAAATCTTGGCAAAAATAGAACCAATATCTGTGCACTTGATAGCGACTTTGCTGCATCTCTTATAAGATATGTTCACACTTACGTAATGTGTATATGTAAGACCATTATTTCCTGTTTTTAAATCATTTTCCACTAAGTTTACTTTTGTACAGGGTATTCTCTATGGCAAAGCAATTACCTGACACTGAACAGACATGTCTAGATACATATATTTTACCTCTCTTTGGGTCTGCAGTTATGATAATGTGTAAAGAATTTTTGTTACATGTGGCTTAGTAGAAAGAAAAATTAATTCAAGCTTAGATCAATTAAATATGTGAGCTAGGAGCTATCATTAAGTTTTAATAAGGATAAGGCTAACTTTGAAAAATATTTAAATATCTCTCTATTTCATCTACATTCTGGTGACCCAGAGACAAGAGAGTGTCTTTATTTTACAATAGGTTTCTTGTAATGGCTAAGATGGAGAAGACTTTTTCAGCTGCTGTTTTCCATTGGAAAAATATTTTGAAAGCAGTGTGAGCTAGAAGCTGCCATTAAGTTTTAATAAGCAGTAAGCTAACTTTTGAGAGAAATTTAGTGAAAGGAACAATAATTATTTATCTCATCTACATTTTGGTGACCCAGAGACAAAGAGAGTGTCTTACTTTAATTTCATAAATTATAGGATTCTTTGGCTGTGATGTGCTAGAACTTTTCCTCTGTTGTAATCCACTGGAAAAAAAATTATTTTGAAACTAGACTCCAATTAGACTGCAGTATATTTGAATGGATTTTTGTAACTCAAATTGGTCTTGTCTAGTTTCTTTCAATATTGATTGGCCATTCTGAACATTTGTTACTGCAGGAAAATTTGTCAGCACTGCAGGTGTCCAAGAGAGGATCACAATATTATTGAAGATGATGCCAGGGAAGGCTGCAGTGTATATTTAGGAGATGCCAACTATTCTGGCTTTCCTAGCGATGATGACAGCGGTTGTGCATTAGATGAATATGCATGGATTCCTCCTGGACTTAATGCTGAGCAGGTGAGTACAGATGCCAAATGGATTTTTGTTTTGTTTCAGGTACACAGTTTCTTTCCAAATATAATGGAAGTAAATTGGTATCCACATTGTCTGTTCTGGTTGTGAGGGTAAAGGATGGTGTTCTTCATTCCAGCGAGATCATAAAGAGAGTTGTGTTAAAAGAATCATTTAGCACTATTTTGTTATTGTGACGTAAAAAAAATGGAACCATTCCCTTGATTATCACCTTTCATTCAAGAGGGCTTTGGAGGGTTATCTGAGCTTCCTGCTTTTGTAAGTTGGACTTTCAAAGACTACAAATTGTTGTTGATTGATTTGAAACAGCTCAGGTACACTGTAGGTAGTTTATAGTTGTTGCATAGGTCACAGTAATTTTGAATTTTAAGTAGGACTTTATTTGTTGAATTAAGCTGCTGTATGTTTTGGCTCTGGTAGGAATACAAATTTATTGCTAGTATTGTGGTTTGCAACCTGGTTTGGATTATAAATGGTATTGTTTATCCTCACATCTGTAGGGAACTAGTGTTCGGCATTTTCATCTGTTTCCAAGGTTAATCAAGATTAAACCAAAACCATGTATTTGCTAATTTCAGGTGCACGCCTATATGAGTTCCCTTCCAGAAGAAAAGGTTCCATACATAGACAGCATTGGTGAAAGGCACCGCAACAAGCAAATCATTGTTCAACTTCCACCATATGATAGTGAGGCAAGATTCTGTAATGGCCTGACAGATGAAGAGAAAAAAGAGCTACGAATCTTTGTGGCACTGAGAAAAAGAGATGCTTTAGACCGAGGAGTGGTGAAGCAGATTCCAGATGTCTCTGAAGGCTACAGTTGTAGAGAGGTGTGACTAATTTATATTCATGAGTAATATCTGTTGAATGATATAGTGGCTTCCATAAAGCTTTTGGGAGGCCTTAAAGCTGACTGAAATAGGGTGTAGGTGATAACAGTTCAAGAACATTCTTCATTAACATTTGACAAAACAATGAGCCACTGCATTCATATCTGGCTGCTTTAGCAAAAATAGGCTTCCAACAGTCCGCCAAAACAAATACTCCCATTGTAGAAATCTAATGTTGAGGGACGTGGTTAATTTTCTTGTAGTGTGGTGACCGTGTCTGCCCAGGATCCATGGCAGTTTTTGCTCCAAGAGCAGGTCAGAACACAAGTTGGCATGCTTCTTGCTTTGTTTGTTGTGTCTGCAAAGAGCTTTTGGTGGATTTGATCTACTGCTACAAGGATGGAAGGATTTTCTGCGGAAGACACCACGCAGAAACATTGAGGCCCAGATGTGCAGCATGTGATGAGGTACATGTACAGGAATTTTCAGAAAATTTGACAGTCGTAATAGTAATAAGTCAATGCCTAAAGTTTATTGGAAAATAAGGAAGACTAGTCTGGTTGTGGTCTGTCTATTAGTATAGGTGAAGTGATCACCTTTGCGATAAGAATCATGAAGCACCATCACATAATTATGTAATGCAAGCACAGACAGGATTGCCATTAAGGGCTGTAACCCATAACACCTGTTACGGCTTAGTATGCTTGATAGGCACTTGATGTTACCCGTGAACTTGTCTTTTGTCAATACAACTCTCCCACAAAGCAACGAGTGCAGTGTGTATGTTATGAGTGTGAAGATCAAGGCGACGAGGTTGACTCAAAACTCAATGACAGCCCTGACTGAGTTGTTAATATCAAGCATTTTTTTGTTTTATGTTATCAGATTATTTTTGCTGAGCAGTGTACAGAAGCTGAAGACCGATGCTGGCATGTGAGCCATTTTTGTTGTTTTGAATGTGACTGTCCCCTTGGGGGTATGCGTTATATAATGAAGGATGGAAATCCATTCTGCTGTCACTGTTTTAAGTCAATGTATGCTGAGTTTTGTGATGCTTGTGGTGAGCCAATTGACCCAGATGCAAGTCAAATGGAGCACAATGGACAGCACTGGCATGCCACAGACAATTGTTACTGTTGTTACAATTGCCGCAAACCACTTCTTGGACAGCCATTTCTACCAAAGAATGGAGAGATTTATTGTTCTCCAGAGTGCAGCCGTGGTGTGCCTACTGTTTACCAAGGACATGAACATTTTGCTCCTATACAATCAGGCTTTAACACAAAACAATACAGTGCTCACGAGTCATGCACTTCTGATCTTGGAACCCTGGAGTCAGACTATGTGGCCTCCAGCACTCCATCTGCCTCTGGCAGGTTGAGTGTTCCATATGAGCCAAGTATTGACGGTGACAGTGTTGGCCAGTATTCAGGAATTTTGTCCAATCGCAGGGCTGGAAACTTGGGAAGACAATGCCATGAAGATGCTTCTGTTGGAATTGGAGGATTATCTAGCACCATGTTTGGTCTCATTGAATCTTCAGGATATTCAACTGATGTATTTGACAGTGTAAGTGTACAAGGAGGCAACTATGGCAGCTTTGATTTTGACAATGACCGATTCCATAAAGGTCAGAATTTCCAGGAGGTCTCGAGGGCTAGACAAGTACCTGATAACTTAGAGAGAGCTTACCAAGTTGAAATATATGACAATAGAAGCACTTCTGACTTCATACGAGCAACTCCTGTGGATGTTGAGTCTGCCAAAGACAGTAACTACGGTACTATTGAGAGCAGGGATAGTAACTATGGAACAGAGATCTCTTCAGCCAGTCAAGATTTAAACAAGGCTATTAAGCATGTGAAAGTAAAGCAAAGGGTTAAGGAGAGGCATGCCTCTGGATATGCGTCAGACCACTGCTCAAGGACATCCAGAAATTCAGGTTATCGAACAAAAGCAAGGCAAATAAAGTATTATGATTTTTCAGATATTGATGACTTTGGTAAAAAATGTTACTTCAGTGAAGGAGAAAACCCAAGGCCATTGTCAAGATCTTTGGAGAGTTTGACATGGAGGCCAAACTCTGTGCCCCCTCCACGACACAGTCACATGAGAACTTCTTCGGGTACGTATGTGTCAGCAAGGAAGGAGCATATGATTAATAGGAAGGGCTCTACCCCAAAGGAGCCAAGTAAGTCACGTAATGGACACACTCAAACAAAATCAAAATCATCTCAGCTACCTTGGGAAGATCCTTTTGCCAATCCAGTGGATAAGAGTAAGTCAAAGCCTGTTAGACGTCCAAGAATCGCTTACACAGAGGATGGGTTCTGTGAAAAACCTGCACCACAGATTGTGAACACAGCTGATGCAACCAAGAAAAGGAAAAACAAACACAAAAATTGCTTGGTACAGTGACTTGTCAAATTTTGGTAGCAAATGCACATGACCACTTCAATGTGACCATTTGATTTTGACTTTCATGCATGCATGAAATCCATGCATTGTGTATGTTTGAAAATAATGTTGGACTGCATGTACTAATATAGTCAAATGTGAGCTGTTGTTATAATGGTTGCCACAATAGATACATACATGTGGCTTGTATATTGTAGTTGTTTGGTTTGTTCCAAGTTTTTGTTATTGCTTGAATCAAAGAGACATATTAAGACACTTTATTGGAATTTGGCTTTCCTGCAGTTTTTAACATTCCCTGTGTGTCAGGATCAGTATATTTTTGACATGTTAAAAAGACAAGTTTTGTTTACTGAAAAGGTGGATATTGATCAAGTATGATGTCAATGAGCCAAAAGAATGTTGCATGCTTTACTCACTCACTCATCCTCATCGGGCCCATGACGACTCTTGCTGCATGCTTTGGTGTTATCTAAATTCATTACCTCAGAAAATTCATAAATTCTCAAATGGGCCTGTTAGATACCATGAAAGCCAGAATGCAATAAAAGTGCACAGCCATTTTGTTTTTACAATTTTATGGGGTTATAATTTAGTAAAAAANTTTCCTCGCATTTTTTAGGTGAAAAATGTTCTGGTGAGAACACGCATGGCTATTTCACTTTCAGTGCCATTGCAAGTTTATTTGGACCGCACGAATTTGTTGCTATCATTACTAATATCTCGCTTTATCGACGTCTTTTTCTTCTAAGAGACATCCACATGAGATAGCAGTGTTTAAAATGTAATTATTAGAAATTGCTGGCTCCTTTTCATTTATTACAAAAAGAAATTTCTTAAGGTGACAATTTCCCAGTTCGTAGAAAATCAATAAGAACTATTGTTAGAAACAGTTTAAATGAATTGAAATTTACATTTGTATGTATAAGCTTTCCCTAAAGCAAAACCACGGTCGAAATGTTCTTGATTATAGCACAAAATCGATTTATATTCTGCTGAAGTTCTGTAATAGACAACCAACATATCCCAATTTTAACCACAAAACCCTTTCATTGAAAAAGCTTCACACTAAAAATAAGCATATTATTACGACGAGCTGTCGCCATGGCAGAGTTAATGAATTTTGTTGTAGTTCTAGTTCGAACATTTACATTAGAATGGCAGAACAAAGATTTCAATAAAATGATTTATTACATTGACAGAATAATCTGACGGAGGGTTTCTTTGTAATTTTTTTCTTTTTGCTTGGTGTGTGGTCTACGATTAAACAGAGTGTAAAATATAAAAAGCTGTGACAATAATCTTCAAATGTGTTGAACTTTTTATGGAATTAAACGAAATCTCCAAATCGGTTTTGCGTTTGAGTGAGCGTTTCTTCTCAAAATCGGCTTTGCCCTTAAGTAACCGATATCCTGAAAGTGTTTATTTTAAACGTCTTAGTCCATAGAGCAAGAAAAATATTGACAACTGTCGAGTTTTTAAAAGGAAGGACTCTAGCAGGCTGAATAAATTGGCGTCGTTTGGGATTTTCTTTGTCCGTCATGCGAGACATCTGTTGTATTTCCGAGGCTATTAAAGCTCTTTTATTTTAAATCAATTACCGGGTTTTATTGTTGTGAAGAACATAAATATATTTCTCTCTAAATCATCTATGTTTCTCTTTGTCCTATGGGGCTATTTACTGATGATTTTTTTGGTATATACGTGTAACAAAACCACCGTTTCATCGACTGGTTTGTAATAATTGTTTGACTTCTTTTCACTCTTATAATATACAAAAGACAGACAGCTTTACCATCTGTACAGGGATAGATCCCTACAGCTTTGCATCATTAACCCTTTTAAGAAAACCTACCAGAAAAAAAATTAGGTTGGCCCTTTTTTCTATTTCTTCTTTCAGCCTTAGCAGTTTTTAGTATTCTGTAAAATAGTAACATTTATTGCTTTTTTAGCTTGGGTTTTTTTTTTTGCGAACTTAAAACGCTTGAAACGTGCCAGAGGTTAACCTCTGCTAAAGCTATATGACAATGAAACAATTGATCTCAGAACTAAGAGAACATAGAGGTTAAGCTGTGAGTATAATGATGTCTAAGATCAAATATTATTTGTTGCATATAGGAAATTATCAACCTCTAGCCTCTGGTAGCTATGATATACCATACCAGGCCGAACAGGGATGTAATAGATAGTAATATTTTATGTCCTGCTGTGCTGTGTGCAACTATAATTTAGCCATTTCTAAGGCTTGCCCTAGCTTGTCGACTTCGTCAATTCAGCAAATTTCCTATTTGGAAGCTAATCAGTTGAACAGATGTTTTGCATTAGATTTATTCTGGTAGAAATCTTGGCAAAAATAGAACCAATATCTGTGCACTTGATAGCGACTTTGCTGCATCTCTTATAAGATATGTTCACACTTACGTAATGTGTATATGTAAGACCATTATTTCCTGTTTTTAAATCATTTTCCACTAAGTTTACTTTTGTACAGGGTATTCTCTATGGCAAAGCAATTACCTGACACTGAACAGACATGTCTAGATACATATATTTTACCTCTCTTTGGGTCTGCAGTTATGATAATGTGTAAAGAATTTTTGTTACATGTGGCTTAGTAGAAAGAAAAATTAATTCAAGCTTAGATCAATTAAATATGTGAGCTAGGAGCTATCATTAAGTTTTAATAAGGATAAGGCTAACTTTGAAAAATATTTAAATATCTCTCTATTTCATCTACATTCTGGTGACCCAGAGACAAGAGAGTGTCTTTATTTTACAATAGGTTTCTTGTAATGGCTAAGATGGAGAAGACTTTTTCAGCTGCTGTTTTCCATTGGAAAAATATTTTGAAAGCAGTGTGAGCTAGAAGCTGCCATTAAGTTTTAATAAGCAGTAAGCTAACTTTTGAGAGAAATTTAGTGAAAGGAACAATAATTATTTATCTCATCTACATTTTGGTGACCCAGAGACAAAGAGAGTGTCTTACTTTAATTTCATAAATTATAGGATTCTTTGGCTGTGATGTGCTAGAACTTTTCCTCTGTTGTAATCCACTGGAAAAAAATTATTTTGAAACTAGACTCCAATTAGACTGCAGTATATTTGAATGGATTTTTGTAACTCAAATTGGTCTTGTCTAGTTTCTTTCAATATTGATTGGCCATTCTGAACATTTGTTACTGCAGGAAAATTTGTCAGCACTGCAGGTGTCCAAGAGAGGATCACAATATTATTGAAGATGATGCCAGGGAAGGCTGCAGTGTATATTTAGGAGATGCCAACTATTCTGGCTTTCCTAGCGATGATGACAGCGGTTGTGCATTAGATGAATATGCATGGATTCCTCCTGGACTTAATGCTGAGCAGGTGAGTACAGATGCCAAATGGATTTTTGTTTTGTTTCAGGTACACAGTTTCTTTCCAAATATAATGGAAGTAAATTGGTATCCACATTGTCTGTTCTGGTTGTGAGGGTAAAGGATGGTGTTCTTCATTCCAGCGAGATCATAAAGAGAGTTGTGTTAAAAGAATCATTTAGCACTATTTTGTTATTGTGACGTAAAAAAAATGGAACCATTCCCTTGATTATCACCTTTCATTCAAGAGGGCTTTGGAGGGTTATCTGAGCTTCCTGCTTTTGTAAGTTGGACTTTCAAAGACTACAAATTGTTGTTGATTGATTTGAAACAGCTCAGGTACACTGTAGGTAGTTTATAGTTGTTGCATAGGTCACAGTAATTTTGAATTTTAAGTAGGACTTTATTTGTTGAATTAAGCTGCTGTATGTTTTGGCTCTGGTAGGAATACAAATTTATTGCTAGTATTGTGGTTTGCAACCTGGTTTGGATTATAAATGGTATTGTTTATCCTCACATCTGTAGGGAACTAGTGTTCGGCATTTTCATCTGTTTCCAAGGTTAATCAAGATTAAACCAAAACCATGTATTTGCTAATTTCAGGTGCACGCCTATATGAGTTCCCTTCCAGAAGAAAAGGTTCCATACATAGACAGCATTGGTGAAAGGCACCGCAACAAGCAAATCATTGTTCAACTTCCACCATATGATAGTGAGGCAAGATTCTGTAATGGCCTGACAGATGAAGAGAAAAAAGAGCTACGAATCTTTGTGGCACTGAGAAAAAGAGATGCTTTAGACCGAGGAGTGGTGAAGCAGATTCCAGATGTCTCTGAAGGCTACAGTTGTAGAGAGGTGTGACTAATTTATATTCATGAGTAATATCTGTTGAATGATATAGTGGCTTCCATAAAGCTTTTGGGAGGCCTTAAAGCTGACTGAAATAGGGTGTAGGTGATAACAGTTCAAGAACATTCTTCATTAACATTTGACAAAACAATGAGCCACTGCATTCATATCTGGCTGCTTTAGCAAAAATAGGCTTCCAACAGTCCGCCAAAACAAATACTCCCATTGTAGAAATCTAATGTTGAGGGACGTGGTTAATTTTCTTGTAGTGTGGTGACCGTGTCTGCCCAGGATCCATGGCAGTTTTTGCTCCAAGAGCAGGTCAGAACACAAGTTGGCATGCTTCTTGCTTTGTTTGTTGTGTCTGCAAAGAGCTTTTGGTGGATTTGATCTACTGCTACAAGGATGGAAGGATTTTCTGCGGAAGACACCACGCAGAAACATTGAGGCCCAGATGTGCAGCATGTGATGAGGTACATGTACAGGAATTTTCAGAAAATTTGACAGTCGTAATAGTAATAAGTCAATGCCTAAAGTTTATTGGAAAATAAGGAAGACTAGTCTGGTTGTGGTCTGTCTATTAGTATAGGTGAAGTGATCACCTTTGCGATAAGAATCATGAAGCACCATCACATAATTATGTAATGCAAGCACAGACAGGATTGCCATTAAGGGCTGTAACCCATAACACCTGTTACGGCTTAGTATGCTTGATAGGCACTTGATGTTACCCGTGAACTTGTCTTTTGTCAATACAACTCTCCCACAAAGCAACGAGTGCAGTGTGTATGTTATGAGTGTGAAGATCAAGGCGACGAGGTTGACTCAAAACTCAATGACAGCCCTGACTGAGTTGTTAATATCAAGCATTTTTTTGTTTTATGTTATCAGATTATTTTTGCTGAGCAGTGTACAGAAGCTGAAGACCGATGCTGGCATGTGAGCCATTTTTGTTGTTTTGAATGTGACTGTCCCCTTGGGGGTATGCGTTATATAATGAAGGATGGAAATCCATTCTGCTGTCACTGTTTTAAGTCAATGTATGCTGAGTTTTGTGATGCTTGTGGTGAGCCAATTGACCCAGATGCAAGTCAAATGGAGCACAATGGACAGCACTGGCATGCCACAGACAATTGTTACTGTTGTTACAATTGCCGCAAACCACTTCTTGGACAGCCATTTCTACCAAAGAATGGAGAGATTTATTGTTCTCCAGAGTGCAGCCGTGGTGTGCCTACTGTTTACCAAGGACATGAACATTTTGCTCCTATACAATCAGGCTTTAACACAAAACAATACAGTGCTCACGAGTCATGCACTTCTGATCTTGGAACCCTGGAGTCAGACTATGTGGCCTCCAGCACTCCATCTGCCTCTGGCAGGTTGAGTGTTCCATATGAGCCAAGTATTGACGGTGACAGTGTTGGCCAGTATTCAGGAATTTTGTCCAATCGCAGGGCTGGAAACTTGGGAAGACAATGCCATGAAGATGCTTCTGTTGGAATTGGAGGATTATCTAGCACCATGTTTGGTCTCATTGAATCTTCAGGATATTCAACTGATGTATTTGACAGTGTAAGTGTACAAGGAGGCAACTATGGCAGCTTTGATTTTGACAATGACCGATTCCATAAAGGTCAGAATTTCCAGGAGGTCTCGAGGGCTAGACAAGTACCTGATAACTTAGAGAGAGCTTACCAAGTTGAAATATATGACAATAGAAGCACTTCTGACTTCATACGAGCAACTCCTGTGGATGTTGAGTCTGCCAAAGACAGTAACTACGGTACTATTGAGAGCAGGGATAGTAACTATGGAACAGAGATCTCTTCAGCCAGTCAAGATTTAAACAAGGCTATTAAGCATGTGAAAGTAAAGCAAAGGGTTAAGGAGAGGCATGCCTCTGGATATGCGTCAGACCACTGCTCAAGGACATCCAGAAATTCAGGTTATCGAACAAAAGCAAGGCAAATAAAGTATTATGATTTTTCAGATATTGATGACTTTGGTAAAAAATGTTACTTCAGTGAAGGAGAAAACCCAAGGCCATTGTCAAGATCTTTGGAGAGTTTGACATGGAGGCCAAACTCTGTGCCCCCTCCACGACACAGTCACATGAGAACTTCTTCGGGTACGTATGTGTCAGCAAGGAAGGAGCATATGATTAATAGGAAGGGCTCTACCCCAAAGGAGCCAAGTAAGTCACGTAATGGACACACTCAAACAAAATCAAAATCATCTCAGCTACCTTGGGAAGATCCTTTTGCCAATCCAGTGGATAAGAGTAAGTCAAAGCCTGTTAGACGTCCAAGAATCGCTTACACAGAGGATGGGTTCTGTGAAAAACCTGCACCACAGATTGTGAACACAGCTGATGCAACCAAGAAAAGGAAAAACAAACACAAAAATTGCTTGGTACAGTGACTTGTCAAATTTTGGTAGCAAATGCACATGACCACTTCAATGTGACCATTTGATTTTGACTTTCATGCATGCATGAAATCCATGCATTGTGTATGTTTGAAAATAATGTTGGACTGCATGTACTAATATAGTCAAATGTGAGCTGTTGTTATAATGGTTGCCACAATAGATACATACATGTGGCTTGTATATTGTAGTTGTTTGGTTTGTTCCAAGTTTTTGTTATTGCTTGAATCAAAGAGACATATTAAGACACTTTATTGGAATTTGGCTTTCCTGCAGTTTTTAACATTCCCTGTGTGTCAGGATCAGTATATTTTTGACATGTTAAAAAGACAAGTTTTGTTTACTGAAAAGGTGGATATTGATCAAGTATGATGTCAATGAGCCAAAAGAATGTTGCATGCTTTACTCACTCACTCATCCTCATCGGGCCCATGACGACTCTTGCTGCATGCTTTGGTGTTATCTAAATTCATTACCTCAGAAAATTCATAAATTCTCAAATGGGCCTGTTAGATACCATGAAAGCCAGAATGCAATAAAAGTGCACAGCCATTTTGTTTTTACAATTTTATGGGGTTATAATTTAGTAAAAAAAAGTAGTAATCAGGGTTGAGAATGGAAATTTTTTGTTAACTACAATAATATTATTATTGATGATATCCTTAAAAATCAATATAATAGAAGTGCTCTAGTTAAATTTCCTTATTTCATTTCATGAAATCAGTTGACAAAGTAAGTCAGTAATATATGACAATTTGCAAAGAATTATATATTATCATTTGATACTGTGCCAATAAACACAATATCAGCCACACAAATTTGAAATGATGTTGGTTAGACGAATGTTTGTAATCAACTGTGAACTCAGTGTACACATTTGAGCTGCTAGTGTAAACATGTTTGCATTACAAAGAAAACATACTGTTACCATCTAAAATCCATTTTTAACACCATATATTTGCCTTTTGGATATTTTAGTTATAGTCCTTTCCTGTATTGCCTAAAACACTTTAACTGCAGTGCAAACAAAGACTTTGTTTCAGAGTTAAGTGACATGAATGAAATAAAATACCAGTAGCCAACATAATGTATCATGTACTTAGTTGAAATAAATGACTATGATAAGTGAATATTCATGGATAAGCCAGAGTTTTTGACACTTGTTTGCTACCTTCAATGGTCAAGTATTCTTTTTATTTATTGCACTCTCATTGGCTGAAGTTAGAAATATTACTTTTTAGCTCCGGTATACCTCAAAATTCTCATTATTTTTTTAGCGAAAGTTTTTGTTTATAAGGACTTGGAAACTCAATGTAACATTAAACTTGTGCAAGAAAGATAGATCACTTTTCTTAAACAAAGACAAGGTTTAGCATCAAGCAAGATTCTTAGATCCATGCATTTTTCTCTGTAACATCCACAAGTCATTTCTTACCTTAACTATTTAAATTTGTTGTGTTCTGTTTCGGTTTCTGTTCCCTACACAATCATATCTATAGATGACGGCAAAAGTTGTTTTAATTCTCACATTTTGACATGTACCGGTATGCGGTAAGCAATTAGTAGCAACTAAGGTTTCTTTTGTGAAATAGTTTTTTTTTCCCTTAAAGCAAGACAAAAATGGTTTCTACATATCACTCCATATTTGCATATAGCAACATTGTATAATATTCGTGCAAAGCAAGAAGTGAGATATTGACTATTTCTGCTTTTGGTATGATCTCTCGTATTAATAGATGAGTGCTCCTTTGCTCCTGTTCTGGTAGTAATTTGTTTTTGTCTTATTCTGTAAAGTTTATTATGTAGTAAGACAATATTTGCCACAACTTAGATAAGATTTTGTGACTACAGTTAAAATGCTGTGTTGGTTTATCCATTGTGAATGCATCATTACTGCATAACTCTTGTTATGGTTGGTCACAGTTACACTATTTTAAATTAATATATAATAATTATTTGAGAATATTGGAATTTTCAACTTTTAAGTTATGTTAGTGGTTAATGAAAAGTTTTCATAAATTGTTGCTGGTTTCAGAATAAACCCTTCAGATTCAATGTCATTTATGTTGGCCAGGTATTTTGTTACATCTAATATGCCCAAGTATTATATGGCTGTCTCACAAGGACTGGGAACTACCAAATTCATGAATTTGATTGGCTGAAATCGATATTGAAAGCGGTCTAGAATTTCCCATCAAGACTGGCATCTAGACCTGTAATGTTTTCCGGTGAAAAAGCTGCAAACTAAAATGCAAAAAAATTGACTTTTTTCTTCTAACAACATTTATTTGTGGAAGTGCTAAAAGGCTGAGGAGAAAAAAAATTAAAGAGGACCAGCAAACTTGGGCAGAACTAAGTTCAGTGCATCGCCATTTGTAAGCAAAATGCCAGCTAGTACAAACCAGGTACATTAACAAATTAAATTTTTCTTGTTTACCATATAATAAACATCTTATTCACCAAGCTTAGTCAGTCTGTATGGAAGAATCTTGACCTCAGTCATGTGTACAGACCCCACTGCGCTGGGTCTGTACTCACGACCTCAATATTCTCCCATACAGACCTCCTGCTTGGTTAATAAGAGCTAAGTACTCGGTATAATAGTTGAAACTGGATTATGATCAATCCAAGTTTAGGTCACTGTTTTGTCTCTCTGGGCAAGACATTTGACTCTCACTCCCTCTCGTTGCCCAGGTGTATAAATGCATGGATACCAGCCATTTCAACCCAAGGGGGCTGGGTGGGTTATTTGGGGGGGGGGGAGGAGCCTGCAATGTACCAGCATCCCATCTAGGTAAAGAGGTAGTAGACATATTCCTAATCTCTTAGTCTTGCGGAAACGTGAATAAGCCTAGTATGGGACATATCCTCTCCCATCAGGTTTCCATCTCCAAGCCAAGGGACCATTAGGAGTGGTTTTGTATATATATTTTTTCTAAAAAATGTGAAAGGCACAGGTTAAAATTAATGTCACTGTCAGTTTGCATCTTAAGGTATATGCTCCAAACTACTCTGTCATTGAGCTCTCTACACTGAGGGGTATCAGTAAATGCATGTGATGGTACACATTAGGGAGAAGTATAAGCCCCCTTCCTCTGAAAAAAAATGTTGAATTATGCAGTGCCAGAAAATATCCATACTCCCCCACAGAAGGGATTGGAATTTCCCGGGGCTGGGGGTGCTATAAGACCAAATTTTTTGTAGAAATGTGTGAAGCTTTATTGGAATTTCCAGAAGGGTTGGCAGGGAAAGGTATGGATATTTTCTGGAACTTCACATAATTATGTATTTAGGAAGTGTTTTGAAAGTGTTAAAATAGTATTGTGTATAGCAGGTGAAAATTATATTACCAGTGAACTGTCCTAGGCAAGGTTTTTAACCAGGATTCTAGGAGACATGAATCGACAGAGTAAGTGTAAGAATGCTTGTTCAATGCAAGATACCCTGGTAATTTTGTACGTGTGCAAACAACTTGCCAAGGCACATTGGATGTGATGATAGTAGCACTGTGAAGTGAATAACATAACTCAAACAGAACAGCTAGATCAGGGCTCGATCCAGGACCTCGTGATTCAAAGATCAACATGCTGTAACAAGTTTTAGACTAGTACGCTTTCTATAAGTAAATGTGACAAGAACGGCAGGGCAAAAACACTGGTAGCTGGTAGCTGGTCACTGGTCACTGGTCACTGGTCACTGGTGTCTGATAGATTAGATACTGTGAAATGTCCCTGACTAAAAGAAAGGCATAATTGAATGTTCAGAAAAAAATTCAATGCGTAGACAGGTCACTCTGAAGTGACACTAATTTGCCTTAATGGCAACATGTTTGTTAAAGTTACCTCGTGGTTGAAACTCATTTCTTAGAGGGCGCAGTCAGCAACAATCATTCCAATCTTGACGCGCACAGAAATATTCAGCGCCATGCGATCTCATTGCAACCCTGGTAAAATATGACCACCCACTACCATTTACTTTTGAATATTAAATTTTTTTGTTGAATGAATAGCTTGAAAGAGTGACAAAAAAAGGAACCATGGATGAAAACTTTACTTAATTTTGTATTAAATATACCAAAATTTACAGTAAAAACAAAACGGAACCATAAGAAAAAAATGAGGGTGTGGACAAATTATTTTTTATAAGTTGTCATAGTATGCTTAGTGTTGTAAGGTACACTTAGTGTACTGCATCGGTGCTTAGTGTACTGCATCGGTAGTAAGGGACATTTCACAGTATCTAATCTATCAGACACCAGTCACCAGTTACCAGTGACCAGTGACCAGTGACCAGTGACCAGTTATCAGTCACCAGTTACCAGTGACCAGTGACCAGTTGCCAGTTACCAGTCACCAGTCACCAGTGACCAGTTGTCAGTTACCAGTCACCAGTTACCGGTCAACAACTACCAATGACCAATGACCAATGACCAGTGACCAGTGACCAGTGACCAGTGACCAGCTACCAGTATTTTAGACCCGCCGTGACAGGAAACATGCAAGTGTCCCCAGGACCTTTTCTCAGGTTGAAAGGTGAAAGGCCAAGGAAAGTCTGTTTGGACAGTTTTGCAGTATATGTGTAAAACGCCCTGGCTAGGAATACCTTTACTTAACTATTCACGAAAAATTATTATTTAAGTTGCAACCGTCAGCAAACATACCACCACACATTGAACTAAACGCAAATTTTAGGTTAAATAAAACCGGTTTATGCCACGTGTCATTGAAAGCTCACCAGCACAAACCGAACAAAACAAACATTTTATTTAAACTTACCCCAATTGTAAGCTTAATTGAAGTCTTTTAAATAGTATTCAAACTTTGTTCAGGAAAATATTTATTCAAGACAACTTAGATTTCGATTGATAAGAAACCGCAGTTCAGAAAAAGCGCAAAATAAATTTGACGGTGTTTAAAAGGAAAAAATCCTACCTTTGACAAACCCGCCAGCTGCTCCGGCTGCCCTTCTTCGCCCGCCCACATCTTCATTAATGAGCAAATTACTCCATTGTAATCGATATTCGATGTCCAATTGCCAAAACAAACGGAGAAAGGAAAACAAACCGCCACAAAGCAGAAACATGAACACAATGGCGAGAAAAACGACGTCCAGCGTGCCCGGATATACTTCTTTGACATGTCCGTGCCTGCCCACACTTTTCCCGCCAAAAGGAAGCCGACCGCCGCGCCCCCCGCCGGATAGGTGTGGTCTTCCGCTCTGAGCTACTACGGTGTTTTCTCATCGTTATAAAGGCCCGTTTACACAGGCGATTTCGATGCAATTTTTGTCGCGCCAAAGTTACAGCTTCAAAATCGCACGAGTAAACTAAAATTTCTATCTTCTGTATGTAGATAAAAAAAATGCGTCTTCTTTGAAGCAAAATCTTTGTCTTCTCTTTCGACTGGGTCACATTGTCTCTAGAAAAACGTAACGCCGGCAAAGATGGCAAACTGTCGCATGCCAATTCACAGTGCCGGGTAGTTTCTGCCGCTTACGCTGCTAAGGTCTGCTAACACATGCTACATCGGGATTTAATTACCCCTAAGCCTTTTATATTTTGAGGTTATTTTTTTTCCTGTGTGCTGCGTGACTCGCATTTTGACGTTGTCACACAACTGACCCTCGAGAGGTCGAGTTGCGTGACACCCCCTCCACGAGACCCTCAGACTAGACAGAATGGCACCATTTCCCAAGCCCTTAGGGGTAGACCAGTTGACTTTTGAGGGAAGGGGACGGGGGTGATTTTGAAAAATATCCCGCATGCATTCTTGTACCAAAAACAAATTCATGCCCACAACCAGTGAGCCAAAAAAGGCGTGCGTTACACGGAGCACGAAGAATATCAAGCATCCCTGAGAACAAATTCCCTGGTGCATGAAAGGGTTAAACAAAATTCCTGCCTGTACCAAGTCACCCACACCTCCCATCAAAAGTCGAAAGGTCCACCCCTTGTACAAGCTGGATACTGGATACAGAAAAACCCATGTTAAGGGCTGCAGGGCCAAGGCTGTGAAATTTGAAATGAGACCCTAGGCCCTACATGTGATACCAGTTCCTGAAAGGTTCGACAAACATCCCCGCCAGTATCAATGGAGTTCCCCCTTCCACTTCCCCCACCCCCCGATCCCCCTAAACAACGTTCATGGTACACCCGAGAAAGTGTAACGTCACAGCCACTCCATTTCAACAGATGTGAAAAGTTCCGTATCTTAGGTTTCACATCCCCATGTTAAAGGGAGCGCTATTATGAAATAACATATTTTTTGAAAATTTTCTTCACCTGTAGATCTTATATCAAACTCCCTGATCTTTATGTCTTAAATATTGCAATCTTTATGCATAAATTCCATCATATAAAATTGCCATCTGCTTTCAATCATTATTTTACTACAGTAAATGAAATTCATGCCTACAATACGAGACTTGCTTCTAAACAATCCTATTCATTGCCCAAAACCAGGACTAATTTTGGAATCTTCAACATTAGATATCAGGGACCTAAAATTTGGAATTCTCTTGATGAGTCTGACAAAAAATTACTTGATTTTCAATTAAAGAAGAAATTAAAA